TTGAGACTTGTTGTATGGCCTGATATATGACCTATCCTGGAGAATGTGTCATGTGCCCTTGAAAAGATTGTGTGTTCCTCTGCTTCTGCGTAGAACGTTCTGGAAATGACCATCAGGTTCATCTGGAGTAAGTGCCATTCAAAACCAGTTTCCTTGTTGATTTTCTGTCTGGATGATCTATCTATTGATGCAAGTGATTTGTTAAAGTCCCCTGTTATTGTTGTATCACTGTCAATTTCCCCCTTTATGTCTGTTAATATTTGCTTTATTTAGTTCAGTACCATGTTGGGTGCATAAATGTTTACAATAGTTATATCGTTTTGTTGGATTTTCCCCTTTATCATTATGTAGTATTCTTCTTTGTCTCTTATTACAGTCTTTGTTTTAAAGCCTATTTTGTCTGATATAAGTAGTGGTGCCCCAGCTTTCTTTTTTGCTTCCATTGGCAAGGTAAATATTCTTCCATCCCTTCACTTTCAATCTGCATGTGTCTTTAGGTCTGAAGTAAGTGTTTCGTAGGCATGATATAGATGAAACTTGCTTTTTTATCCATTCAGTCACCCTATGCTTTTTGATTGGAGCATTTGGTCCACTTGCCTTTAGAGTAATTATTAATGGATACATACTTATTGCCATTTTAAAAATTGCTTTCTGGTTGTTGTGGTAGTTCTTCTTTGTTCCATTCTTCTCTTGTTTACTTCCCTTATGTTTTGATGGCTTTCTTAAGTGTTATACTTAGCTTCCCTTCCATTTATTTTTTGTTTCTTATAATTTTTTGTCTTGTAGTTGCCATTGCATTCATATATTACATTTTCTGTGTATAGCAATCTATAATAAGTTGATGGTCGCTTAAGTTTGAACACATTCTAAAAGCACTAAATTGTCACTTCCTCCTCCACGTTTTATGTATATGATGTCATATTTTACATCTTATTTCATGTATCCCTTAGGCACACTTGATTTCACTACTTTTGTGTTTTAACCTCCTTACTGGTTTTATAAGTGACTAATCTACCTTTCACTATATGTTTGTTATTCCCATGAATGTTTCCTTTCTTAATTTTCTTACTTCTAGTCATGGCCTCTTTACACTCAAAAAAGTCCCTTTATCATTACTTGTAAAGTAGGTTTAGTGGTGATGAATTCCTTTAACTTCTTTTGTCTGGGAAATTCTTTCTATCCCCTTCAATTCTGAATGATAACCTTGCTGGGTAGGTTATTCTAAGTTGTATTTTTTTTTCCTTTTTCCACTTTGAATATATTATGCCAATCCCTTCTGGCCTGCTATGTTTCTGGTGAAAAATTAGCTAATAGCCTTTGCTTGTAACCATTTTCTTTTGTTGCTTTTAAATTCTCTCTATCATTACATTTAGCCATTTTAATTATTATGTGTCTTGGTGTAGCCCTCCTTGGGTTCATCTTGTTGGGGCTCTTTTTACTTCTTGCATCTGGATTTCTGTTTCCTTCCCCAGGTTAAGGATGTTTCCAGCTATTATTTTTTTCAAGTAGATTTTTTTGGCCTTTTCTTTCTCTCTTCTTCTGGGATTTCTATAATGTGGATGTTATTATGATTGATAGCATTGTATTGTTTTATTAATTTTATTAACCTATTCTCTTCCATTATTTTTTCTGCTCTTTGATGTTCAAATTGGTTACTTCCCATTATCTTGTCTTCCAGATCCCTGATCCATTTTTCTGCATTCTCTAATCTGCTGTTAATTTCCTCTAGTGTATTTTTCTTTTTTTAAAAGATTTTATTTATTCATTTGACAGACAGAGAGAGATCACAAGCAGGCAGGGAGGCAGGCAGAGAGAGAGGAGGAAGCAGGCCCTCCGCGGATCAGAGAGCCCGATGCGGGGCTCGATCCCAGGACCTTGGGATCATGACCTGAGCCGAAGGCAGAGGCTTTAACCCACTGAGCCACCCAGGCGCCCCTCTAGTGTATTTTTCATGTGAGTTATTGAATTCTTGAGCTCTGACTCATTCTTGTTTATATTCTCTCTCTCTTTTTGGAAGTTCTCACTGGTTTATCCACTCTTTTCTCAAGTCTTCTGAGTACCTTTATAACCTTTACTTTGAACTCTTTATCAGGCATATTGCTCATCTTTGTTTCATTTCACTCTTTTACTGTGATTTTGTCTGTTCTTTCATTTGGGACATATTACTCTGTCTCCTCATTTCGTCTAACTCTCTGTGTTTGTTTCTATGTGTTAGGTAGGTCAGCTACATCTTCTGATCTTGAAAATGGTGGCCTTCTGTAGAAGAGGTCCTGTGGTGCCCTATAGCACAGTGTTCACATGTCACCAGAACCAGGTGTCCCACAGGTGTCCCCTGTGTGGGCTGTATGTACCCTTCTCTTGTGGCTGAGCCATGTTTACCTTCAGCCCAGATAGCTTCAAAGGCCTACTTCTGTGGGCCTCTGTAAATACACTTTTGAGAGTCTGGGCTGAGGCCAGGTAGGACCAGTTGGTGGGTGGGCCCATTATACATCCTAGCAACGTGCTATTAGCCTCTTTGCCAAAACTGCACAGAAGTATAGGGCTCAGTCCCTGTACATGCAAATAAGAGGCCTGGCTACAGGAACTGTGGGTGCCTGGTGTGTGGGTTTGTTACACCTCCCTAGGACGGGGCTCACTTTGGAGTGACACTGGTCTGGGCCTAAGCTGCATAACAGGTGTGGTTGGGCAGGAGCAGCTTTGGAAGTTGTGCCTGCCATGGCAGGTAGGTTGGGTGTAGTTGGTCCACAGGGAAATTCCAGGATGAAGCATTTGGTTCTGACAAGGAAGATGGAGAGTGTTAGAAATTGTTGTTTTAAGCCTTTGGCTTTTTACACTGGGGGAGGGAAAGAAACAGGTGGCAGCTTACACTTTTGTTCTTGTAGAAATTTGCAGATCCTTGCCCTTCTGGCACATGGTCTAAGATGACCCAATAAATCTCTTTCATGTATAACCCAGCCACTTTTCAAACTGCTGTTTCTATGCTATGTCCTGGGCTCATTTATATTACTAATATGTGGTTCTTTATGGGTAGGTACTCGGTTTCCCAGGAACCTCCAGGTTTCCTGGCATCAAGCTTACTGATTTTTAAAGCTCCCAGAGTTAAAGTCTGCTAGTTTTCAAAGTCAGACATTAAGGGGAATTGTCTTCCTAGTATGTGTCTCTAGCGCCAGTGGTGCCCTGTGTGGGGTCTGAGTCTCTCACTTCTCTGTAGTTGTGATGTCCCTCTTGTTTGTGTTTAGTCACACAGAGAGTTTGGTTCCCAAATGCCTCTCTGCCCCTCTTACCTTTTCGATGTGGCTTTCTCTCTATGACTAGCTGTGGAATGTCTCTTCTGCTAGTGTTCATCTTTTTTTCAAAGTTAGTTGCATAGATGTAGTATTGCCTAGGTGTGTCTGAGGGAAGAGGTAGGCACAGGAGTCTCCTAGTCTGTCACTGTGTTTCTTTCACTAATTTGTCCTGACTTTAGAATTAAGGCAATGCAATTCACAGATGAAGTGAAGTGTTTTTAATAATGATTATGAAAAATATATTTCTATACAATTGTTAATTTTTTAGAGTTAAAAAATAAATTTACGTAGGTGGTGATGTGTTGTCGAAGACATTCCTAATAGGGTAGTTAAGGACTTCTTGTTCCCGCATCATTTACCACATGGAAAACACAGGATCATTAAATGTCCTGTAGAGTTCAATAAAAATGTTAACTAGCATTCCTGGGTTAGATACTCTACCCTACCCTGGTCTTTAGCTCCAAACCTTCTCAAGTGGCACTCCAGAAGTTTAAGGTTCTCCAAAGTATCCTTTGTTCTGAGCCCAGCCCCATTTTACCTTTTTGAGAGTGCTAAGAAGAGAATACTTAACAGCTGTGCAATCCAGTCCTCTCCCCTGTAGTTTCCATATCCTGTGCCAAGTGGCACAGAGCACTTTTAAACCTGAACTGGGCATTTGGAAATATTTTATGGCTATGTAGGAGAGATTAGAATGATCTCTAGTAGTTCAGAAACAATCTTATAATTTTATTAGTCAGAAATACAGTTTAAATACAGGATTATGCTGTGCTCTTTAAGCACTTATGGAATAAATTTCAAAAGACAATTGCCTTCTGATGATAATATTCAATATTATAAAGTCTGACATGCTATAAACATTTAGGAAACAATCTGTTGAATGACATAACTTTCAATTATAGTAAAATTGAAAAGAGTTTTGAGAAAATGACAGCTATTATCTTTCCTGATTAAATGTTATTTTCTGTTAGCATTTTAAGATAATTAATCTCTGCTTTGAACACGTAAAGTTTTCTACCAAAGGACTCCTCTGTAAGGACAGAATGATTGTTTGGCCAAAATTTCAGAGGCCCGAGGTTACCTAGTAAGATAGGATATTGATTAATAAAGGAAAACAACTACATATCTATGCAGAAAACATACTGATAGAGACAGATAGCTCATGTCAAAATTTCATAAAGTTAGGTATGGCACACTCTCAAAGTAAGCCTTTCAGTTTAGGTACCAGGGAATTTAAGAAAATATCACTTCTCTTTATATTCATTTGGCATTTGCTTCGGGAATTGTTTTTAAACTTCTAAAACTGGTTCCCTAAAAATGATCTTCAAAATTTGCAATTCAAGATAAAATTAGCAAGGGCCACTGGAAAAAAATCTCCCCTTTACCACCATTTAAAAGTAAACACTAGCTTTAAGGCCACTATCATAAATTTCACATTAACCACCATTATGTCCTGCCTCACCTTGATGTACACTGTCAATACCTATTCCCACTCATCAAGCTCTTTGCTTAAAACAATAACCACTAAACCAGCCAGAATTAATTAAAATGTCCATATCCTAACTGGTATCCAAGCGCCTGAGAAGTCAACAGGGAGCCCCACTTTAACTTATTAAAAATAATTGAAAGTGAAATAAGCTAGTACATAGGCAATATAAAAGTCCACCTCATTTAGTACCTTCTTTTAATGAATTCAGAATTTGAAATTACTTTCACCTTATAATCCAAGAGAGAATTGACTTGTTCAACTTCAGAATTACTTATCATGTCACTTTCTCCATCATCAATAATTTCTATTTTCTGTAACACAAGTAGAGAAGTTTTCATAAATACGTATCTGATCATCAACACTATATCCAACAATGTATAGTACATAAACATTCAATGTTTAGTTTTAATGATGGGGTTGTCTTGTCTAAGTTATCCAGAATAAACTCTGATAACTGGTTCTTCAGTGTTATATACAGTGTATGTCTGAGCCACTTTTTGCTATCTTTAACTGATGACTGCTTATTAACTAGGAAATTATTATAAAACTATTTAAAATAGAAAAATCTCTCACAATGTTTCTGAAAAACAAGAGGCATTTGAATTCTGCTTAAATAGCACCCTCCAGTGACAGGAAACTCCCTTTCTTTAAGAGGAGTCTTTCTAATGCTAACCACACCTACTTTGTTGCATTGTTTTGTTTTTTAATTACCATGTACATCTTTACAATTTCTAATGTAAAATATCAATATGTGACATGCATTCCAAAGTCAAATGCAGTTTTCTAAGTCACTTATTTAATGCACTCCATTAGCTAGACAAATTGAAAGCAGACATTTATGATATAATAAGAAAAATAAACTGGTGATTTTCTTCCTTCACTGAACAGTAAAAGGGAGAGAGAGAGATCCTAAAGTGTCATTATGTTATAATTAAGGTGCAACATAGTTCGTACAGTATTTTGCACACAGTAGGTACTAATTAAATATCTGTCAAAAGAGTCAACAAAACAGCTTACTGCTGATGTGAAGAATGACCAGTAAACTCCCAACCATGGGGGCAAAGAAAGTTCTCTAATCATAGAACATTATTTTTTTAAAAAAGCAAAAGCAAAACCAAAATGAGCTCTAAATATTTGAGCACTGGTATTGCATGGAACTATTGAATTACTATATTGTACACATGAAACTAATATTATACTGTATGCTAATTCATTGGAATTTGAATAACAATATTTCAAAAGTCCCAAACACACCTGGAATGATCATACTTAACACATTGCCTATGAGGATATGTAACCATAATAGGATGTGTGACCTACAGGCTTCCAAGTCAAGAGGATAGTTGCAATGAAATTGATTTCTACTGCTGATTGGAGATGAATCTAATTTTTTTAAATTAAAATCACTATAAACTTGGGGTTTCATTATGTCAGCTTTCACTAGACCTAATTTGATACTTTCTAAGAAAATTTTTTTAGATTCTCTGTTTGGATCAGTTCTGGAGAAAAAGAGGTAAGTAATCCATGGAAGAAAGCTCCAAAGGCCACTCTATAGATTTTTGCATATAAGTCAGTGTTAAATGTTTTTGTGATTTGCCATCTATGAAGAATTGCGGGCACTCAAAGTTACAGGCAGAGGAGATGGGCCTTTGACAATCTGAAGTTCTGTCTCTAAAAGTGAATTTTTTTTTTAAATTAGATGCCTAAATGAGTTGGGTCATTCCATGCAATTATTTAATTTATTATTTCCAAATGTCTGCTGAGGGGAGATCCAATGCAGAGAAATTCAGACTAAAAATGAGCATGTGTTTACAGAAGAAAAAAGGGTTTAGTTTGTAAATAATTGTATATAACTTGTTTAGTGTAACTCAATTCTAGAGCAGAGAAGATTATTACTTCATGGAATTTGAGAATATTAACACAACTAATTGTGGAAATAATTATTATCAGCTATCTAATGAAAACATTTCATTAAAATCAAAGTTTGTTTTCCTATATGTCTATTGAGTTGTGTTAGTAGGGTCAGACATCAATTGAAATCAGGACTGAAATCAGTAAAATGTAATCCTAAACTATATTCTGCATGTGGAAAATACTGTTATAAATTGTTGTTGCTTAACAAAAAAGAGCAAAACTGTAATTTATGTGTTCAACTTCTACTAAGGAGATATGGAAGAATTATAGTGTCCTATAAATAATGTTTGTAATAGAAACCAGAAATGAAGTTACACCTATTTTGGAACAGAAAAATCCATTATAGGGACCATTTTTTAAAAGACCACAATCAAGCAAAAATCACTTTGAAAGAAAAAACAAGATGGCATTTGCCTTTATGTTTGACTTTAATATTATCTTGATTTCTGTATTACTTGATGAAGTCAGGATACAAACAGATGCTGCTAAAACAGCTGCTTAGAGAACATTTCTATATACCAATAATATTTACATTTTCACAAAGCCCAGTTAAATCCACATATACCCTGTATCTGCCTGTTATTCAGTGTGTTAATATTGTCTTTCTTCCATCAGTGCAATTTTTAAGACTAAGAGAGTCTAATTCAACTAGAAAGAAGAGAATGTTCCAAACATAGTAAAGACAGATATGGTCTGAACAGAGAACTCTGAATGAGAGTCAAGTGTATTCATCCTTTCTGATGGAGGCAAGTGTATTTGAATCAGATACAAGTCTTAGAACTAAGAAAGCATTCTTTCATTATTGCAGTCTAACCTCAGCCTTAATTCTGTTCTTTGCTAAATGTATTAAAGAAAAATAACATATGTATAAAATGTCTATATGTAGTAAGTTTGGGTTTTTATATTCGCAAATCTCTTCAGTCAAAAAAATTGAGGCAGAAATGACAGGGCTTTAAATTTCATTTCTTTAACCCTCAAAGATACATAATTTCATTGATGACAGCTTTGTTTTGGCTTGTGAAGTGGAGAAGGATATAATTACGATAACACTGATATTATTACCAACTGGAAATATATCCTTGAAATCCATCATGTAGGAAAGAACCCATCATGAAGAAAGAATTTTAAAATGTACATACCACATTATCTGCAGATACTGCATGGTGGTCCTCCTCCTTATGAACCCTTGCCTCATTTGGAACTTCACTGGACTCTTCTATGGAAAAAAAAATGCTGTGATTTCATTTTTCATTCCTCAAAACTTTATTGAGAGTGCTTCTCTCAAGATCACTTAAATAATTTCTTCATTTTAAAAAGACACAAATCGGGGTGCCTGGGTGGCTCAGTCAGTTAAGCCTCTGCCTTCAGCTCAGGTCATAATCCCAGGGTCCTGGGATTAAGCCTCACATTGGGCTCCCACCTCAGTGGGGAACTGGCTTCTCCCTCTTCCTCTGCCACCACCCCTGCTGTGCTCTCTCACTCTGTCAAATAAATAAATAAAATCTTTACAAACAAACATAAATAAATAAATAAAAAGACACAAATGATAAATTTATATCATATATGCTTTGATAAGCAGTTGTACTTCTAACAGTGCCTTCTAGGAAATAAGTATGGATAGGTACAAATACAAGGATGGCCGCTACTGTGCTGTTTACAATTGGAAGAAAAAATTGAAGCAGTCTATATGCTTAACAATGGATGATTGTTTCATTTAGGACCCATTCTTTCAATAAATACTATAAAAATGAAGGGCAAGAAGAGTTGATAGTAAGGAAAATATTCACCATCTACTGTTAAGTGAACAAATGAAGGTAACAAAACCTACTATGTAGGTACACCATGATCTTATTTATTTATTTATTTATTTATAGAGAGGATGTGAGTGCAAATGTGAGCGCTCCATCTCATGACCCTGAGATCATGACCTGAGCCAAAACCAAGAGTTGGTTGTTTAACTGAGCCACCAAGACATCCCTATGATCTTAATTTTATAAAAGAAAAAAAGTGTACATTTTCATCTATAATGAAAAGACTGATATTATTTAGACCAAAACATTGACATTATTATTTTTGGATGGAATTACAGGCAATTTTATTTTTTTCCTTTGGTCTAATTTTACTTATTTCGATACTTCTTATTTTTTCAATTTGCTTACTTATATTGAAATATTTTTACAATGAATTTGTATCGCTGGTTGTAATAAGAAAAAATGATAAAAGCAATTTTTGAATACATGATATAAAACTATAAATATAGTACATTTCCAATTTTTTGAAAAAGCAAGTGTATGTGAATACACATACATACACACACACATACCCCTGCATATATGCAAGGAGAAAACACTGGCAAAAATATTCACCTGCTCCTATTTTAAGAATAGTTATTGCTGAGAGGTAGGATTATGTCAAAACTTCTTACTGTATTTTCATATATTTTCTGTAATGAACATGTATTCCTTTTATGATCAAAAGGGAGACAAACCATAAGAGACTCTTAACTATAGGAAATAAATTGGGGGTTGCTGGAGGGAAAGGGGTTGGGGGGATGCGGTAACTGGGCGATGAGCATTAAGGAGGGCACGTGATGTGATGAGCACTGGGTGGTATATGCAACTGATGAATCATTAAACTCTACCTCTGAAACTAATACAATATATGTTAATTGGTTTTAAGTAAAATAAAAAAATTCAATATTCTAAAAATGTAAAAAAATTAAACTAAGAAAAATTAATTCAGAGAAACAAGTCTTAAAAACTCTCTGTGTTGAGCTAGGAGAATTGGCTAGTTCACAGCATAGGCTGTCTACCAAATAAAGCCCTCTCTTAGATTACCCCTACATCTATCTACTCCTTAGTAAAATAAGACAGCAATGTTTCTCTCTTCTTTATGCACAGTCATGTCATTGAGATTATTTAAACACTAGTTGAAGTTGTCTGCCTCTTGGTAGCTGATGTTTTATTTTATCATAGAAAGCAGAAGAAAGGAGTGCCTGGGTGGCTTAGTCAGTTAAGCATCTGCCTTTGGCTCAAGTCCTGGGATCTAACCCAATATTGGGCTGCCCACTCAGCAGCGAGTCTGCTTCTCCCTCTCCCTCTGTGATCCCTCTTGCTCTAACTCTCTCAAATAGATAAATAAAAATCTTTTTAAAAAACAGAACAAAAATATTTATCAGTCTTCCTAAGATTTTTCCAGACACATTCCTTCCCATGGAAAGATGTATAGAGGTGCCCTGTATGAGCCTGGAGCATTAACCGAAAAAAAAAAAAAAAAAAAAAAAACAACTAATGGAGGAACTCACATGAAGACATAAAGAATTAGGTTTAAGATATACAGCAAAACTTTACCAAAATTTTAATGCAAAGTCCACCATAAATTCAATTTATTTATTTATCAAGTTAGTGATTTTCACGTTTTTATTTAAATTCCAGTTACTTAACATACAGTGTAATATTAGGTTTGGGCATACAATATAGGGATTCAACAATTCCTTACAACACCCACTGCTTTACCACAACAGGTGTACTCCTTAAACCCCATCACCTATTCCACCCATCTACCTCACCTCCCTATTGGTAACCATCAGTTTGATCTCTATAGTTAAGAGTCTATTTCTGGGCACCTGGGTGGCTCAGTGGGTTAAGCCTCTGCCTTCAGCTCAGGTCATGATCTCAGGGTCCTGGGATTGAGCCCCTCGTCGGGTTCTCTGCTCAGCAGGGAGCCTGCTTCCCCCTCTCTCTCTGCCTGCCTCTCTGCCTACTCGTGATCTCTCTCTGTCAAATAAATAAATAAAATCTTTAAAAAAAAGTCTGTTTCTTAATTTGCCTCTTTCTCATTTTTTATTCCCTTTGCTTATTTGTTTTGTTTCTTAAACTCCACATATGACTGATCATATGGTATTTGTCTTTCTCTAACTTATTTTGCTTAGCATAATACTTTCTACCTCCATCCATGTCATTGCAAATGGTAAAATTTCACTTTATTTTATGGCTGAATAATAACCAGTTGTATATGTATATACCACATCTTCTTTATCCACTTATCTATCGACAGGTGCTTGGGCCGCTTCCATAGTTTGGCTCTTGTAAATAATGCTGCAGTAAACATAAGGGTGCGTGTATCACTTCAAATTAGTGTTTTTGTACTTTTTGGGTATATACCTAATAGTACCATTACTGGATTATAGGGTAGTTCAATTTCAATTTTTGAGAAACTTCTCTACTGTTTTCCACAGTGGGTGATCAGTTTGCATTCCCACCAACAGTGCACAAGGTTAATTTTTCTTCATGTTGCTCCCAGGACTACTTGTTTCTGGCATTTTTTATTTCAGTCATTCTGACAGGTGTGAGGTGATAACTTGTAGTTTTGATTTGCATTTTCCTGATGATAAGTGATGTTGAGCATCTTTCATGTGTTTCTTGGCCATCCGTAACCCTTCATTGGAAAAATGTCAATTTGCCTATTCTGCCCATTTTTAATTGGGCTATTCACTTTTTGGGTGTTTAGTTTTATAAGTTCTTTATATATTTTGGATACTAACCCTTTATTGGATATGTCACTTGCAAATATCTTCTGCCATTCCATAGTGTGCCTTTTAGTTTTGTTGATTGTTTCCTCCGCTGTGCAGAAACATCTTATTTTGATGTTGTCCTGATAGTTTGTTTTTCTTTGTTTCCTTTGCCTCAGGAGACATATCTAGAAAGAAGATACTGCAGCCAGTGTCAAAGAAATTAGTGCCTGTGTTCACTTCTAGGATTTTTATGGTTTTGGGTCTCACATTTAGGTCTTTCATCCATTTTGGATTAATTTTGTGTATGTTGTGTTTTGCATGTAGTTGTCCAGTTTTCCCACCACCATTTGGGGAAGAGAATTTTTCTCATTGGATAGTCTCTCCTGCTTTGTCAAAGATTAATTGATATACAGTTGTGGGTTCATTTCTGGGTTTTCTATTCTGTTCTATTGGCCTACATGTCTATTTCTGTGGCAGCACCACACCATTTTGATCAATACAGCTTTGTAATGTAGTCCAGAATCGTGATGCCTCCAGCTTTACTTTTCTTTTTCAGGATTTCTTTAGCTATAATAATCTTTTGTAGTTCTGTACAAATGTTAGGATTGTTCATTCTAGCTCTGTGAAAAATGCTGTTGGTATTTTGATAGGGATTGCATTAAATGTGTAGATTGGGGTAGTATAGACATCTTAACAATATTTTTTCTTCCAATCTATGAGCATGGGATGTCCATTTCTTTGTGTCATTTTCAATTTCTTACATGAATGTTCTATAGTTTTCAGAGTGCAGATATTGTACCTCTTTGGTTAAGTTTATTCTTAGGTATCTCATGATTTTTGGTGCAATTTTATAAGGGTTTGTTCTTTGATTTCTTTTTCTGCTGCTTCTTTATTGCTGTATAGAAATGCAACAGATTTCTGTATGTTGATTTTGTGTCCTGCAACTTCACTGAATCCTGTATCTGTTCTAGCAGTTGCTTTTTTTTGTTTGTTTGTTTGTTTGTTTGTGGAGGCTTTTAGGTTTTCTATACCGAATATCATGTCATCAGCAAATAGTCAAAGTGTGACTTCTTCCTTGCCAAGTTGGATTACTTTTATTTCTTTTGTTTTCTGATTGCTATGGCTAGGACTTCCAGCACTATGTTAAATAACAGTAGTGAGAGGGGACATCTCTGTCTTGTTCCTAACTGTAGAGAAAAAGCTCTCAGTTTTTCCCCATTGAGGATGGCATTACCTGTGGATTTTTCATATATGGCTTCTATTTTGTTGAGGTATATTGCCTCTACACCTACTTTTTTGAGGGTTTTTATCATGAATTGATGTTGTATTTTGTGAAATACTTTCGCTGCCTCTATTGAACACCATAAATTCAATTTATTTTTTTAATAAAAAAATGATTCCTAGATGGAGGAGACTTTATTCATTATTTAGACATTTCAAATCACAGGAATTTCAAAACCTATGTAATCATCAACTAAATTAAATGAAGGGTGGGTTGTTAACAGGTTTAGCTGCAGAGCTGATACTAGGACTAATGCTGTCAGAATAGATGTTACAGTGCTCATCAATAAGATTATTACTGGTATCATTCCTTATGGATTTGCTTTATATTTCTGTTCCTACTTGCTCAAAACTATATACATTTATGCTTTACTGGCAATATATATATGCAGGGTTTGATTATTTTATTAGATGTAAATAAA